ATAAATAAATACAAAAAAATAGATTATTTTGCTGAGTTAACACACCTATATTATTCAAATAACAGAACTTAACAAAAAAAGGGTATACAGATGAATGTCCATTTTGTATCTGTGTATTCAAAGTGGTTAGGATATATAGTTACATTTTCTTAACGCATAGAGTGATTTGTTCTAATGGTGTTTGTAGATAGGATATCATGCCCACACCTTGTACAGCAATTAACCACTGGGAGGAATGTATGCAATGTGTTAATTATTGAAACTGTCCTACCAATTTGCTTTGAAACTGTCTCACTGCTATTTGTTTATCAATAAAATTATGGAAAAATAAATAAATAAATAAGTGAGTCCAAAAAAAAGACTGGGCATGGTGGCACATGCCTATAATCCCAGCTCCTGGGAGGCTTTAAACAGGCAGATCACTACAAGCCCAATCTAGTAGTAAGAACTTAAATAGTAAATCTTGAACTTACTATTTAACCCTCTAGACTCTTCCCTAAAAAAAAAAAAAAAAAAAAAAAAAAAAAAAAAGTAGGGGTCAGGGAGATAGCTCAGTAGAATAATCGCTTGCCTGGCAAGGGCCTGAGTTCAATCCCGGTTCCACAAAAAAAGGAACCAAGCAATTTAGGAATCTTCTTTTTTTTCTTTTTTTTTTGGTGGAACAGGGGATTGAACTCAGGCCCTTGCACTTGCCAGAGAAGTGCTTATTCCACTGAGCCATCTCCCCGGCCCCAGGAATCTTAACCATTAGTGTCCGCACTACCACAGAAAGCAACGGAGAAAGAACAGAGACAGCAGCCAGCAAGTCACAGCTCTGCCAGGGGCCAAAGCATGGTGCAAAGCAGGCAGCAACCAAGTCACCCAGACGGCGGCGCTCTGCGAACCCCAGTGCCAGCCCAGGCTGGGTGGCCCCAAAACAGACCCTGTTGGGTTTCCTCACTATTGCAAGCCACACCCCAATTTAAAACTTACAGTTGTTTCAGCTGCAAGACCGTCGCGCTAACTGCAGAGCGGGAGGTGATTAAAGCAGAAGTCTTTTGCACCCTTAGACACATAAACGACTTGAGTTTCTGTGGTGCTGAGCCCCTGGCACGGAAGCCACATGAGGAGGGAAGGGCACACAGACGAGCCACGCACACACTCAGAAACCAGTCATGGTGCCGGCTGACGGCACAAGCAGCCGGGGCGCTCAGTCTCTCAAGCATCTGCAGTCGCTGTTCTAGCTGTTCACACACGTACACAGTTAGGGAGCGGGGGCAGGGAAAGGATGCAGGGAGGACACCGGGCAGGGCACCATGCTGGTTCCAAACGAGAAGACAGACCAAGGTTAGAAGGGGAGAGAAGTCAGAAAGAAGCATGAAGCCACAGGGCAGGGAAGGACTGAGTCACGGAGCGACTTCTTCAGGGGCAGGGATATGACAGGGATCACATGAAGCCACATAAGCCCCAAGGTTACCCAGTTCCATCCTGCACTACTAGTGCCTAAAGGCCCAGCCTTCACTTCTTGTGTGTGTGCATGTGTGTGCGGTACTGGGGAATCAAACCCAGCGAAGCCTGCAACATCCGCAGCCTCTTGGACTCTAAAAACTAAATGCAGGGCTGGGGAGATAGCTCGGCAGTCTAAGCGCCTGCCTGGCAAGAGCAAAGACTTGGGTTTGATCCCCGGGACCTTGGGTGCGCTATGCTGGCCACTAAAACCAGGCAAGGTAGTGCACACCTGTGATCCCAGAGCTGGGGAGGCTGAAGATCACTATGAGTCTGAGCCACTTAGTGAGACCCTGTATCAAATAAATAAATAAAACTTTAAAAACAAAAACAGATTAAGAGTCAGGTGTGGTGGTGCACACCCGTAATTGTAAGGGGCTGAGGCAGTAGTTTTGAGGCCAGCCTGGGCTACAAAGCAAGTTGAAAGCCAGCCTGAACTGCACAGTTAGACCCCGCATCAAAATGACAATAAATAAATAAATAACTTTTGATACAAGAGCAAGAAGTCAGGTTAATTCAAGATACGAGGAAAGGGGCCGGGGAGATGGCAAGCACAAGGGCCCGAGTTCCATCCCCGGTTCCACCACAAAAAAAAAAAAAAAAAAGCTACGAGGAAAAAGACCACGCTACAGTGGCGCCTCAGCAAGCACGGTCGCAAGCCGAAGCTCAGGAGCACAACACAGTGGGAGCCACAGCACCACTGGCTGAGGTCAAGTGGGTCCCAGGAAAAGCTGGAGGCAGGGAGGGCCCAGGGCTCAAGGGAAACCCGCCAAGTGCAAGGGTACTGCTGCAGCCAGCAGCACCTGCCCGAGTCGTCCTTTAAAGTAAAATCACCAGGCCTGGGAGACAGTGGCATAAGCACCTGCCTGGCAAGTGCAAGGTCCCAAGTTCAATCCCCAGTACCACAAAAATAAATAAGATAAAAAAAAAAGTAAAATCACCTTCAGAAACTCTTGGATCGAAGGTGAAAGGAAGTCAGACAGCTCTCCAGGGTCTGCTTCCCAGAGCCCAGCGACTGGAAGCCCAGCCTGCTCACTCCTCAGAACTGCTGCACACGACCCGACCTCGAGCCTCAGAAATGAACAAGTACCTCGCTCACACTCAAGTTCAATGACAAAACGACAAGCGGCCTGCAAGCCTGAATGCAGAAATTGCCAAGCTTTCGTCACAGCTTTTTTTTTTTTTTTTTTCCTGGTTTTTTTGATGGAACCGGAGACTGAACTCAGACTCTTGCGCTTGCCAGGAAAGCGCTTGTTCTACTAAGCCATCTCCCTGGCTCCACTTTTCTTCTTTTTTGAGACAAGATCTCCTTATGTAGTTCAGACTGGTCTTGAATTTACTATTTAACCCAGTCTGGTCTCCACTTCACAGTAATCCTCCTGCCTCCGCCTCCTCGGTGCTGGGATTACATGCATGCACTACCACACCTGGCTCAACAGCACCTTCAAAGAAGGTCCACTGGGGGACCGGGGAGATGGCTCAGTGGAATAAGTGCTTCCCTGGCAAGTGCAGGGGCCTGAGTTCAATCCCCAGTTGCACCAAAAAAAAAAAAAGGTCCACTGTTGCTCAGTCAGGAGTGACAGGGATGTAACTTACGAAGTTGGCAGCGTCCATGATTCCATCTTCTACAGGATGTGTGCAATCAAGGGTGAACTTCAGGACCTGCTTCTTTTTTTTGCCCCCCTTCGCTGCAAGCTTTTTCTAAGAAAGTATACAAACAGAGATGAAGCCATAACCAGTCCCAAAAACCTTAACAAAACCAAAAACTTTTGGAAGGGGCTGGGGAGATGGCTCAGTGGAATAAGCACTTCCCTGGCAAGTGTTCAATTCCCAGTTCTGCAAAAACAAACAAACAAACAGAAACTTTTGGAGAACACACAAGCCCACACAATACACAATATACAGAGCCAGGGAGATAGCTCAACAGCATCAGCACCTTCCTGCCCCAAGTGCAAGGTCCCAAATTCAATCCCCAGTACAAAAAAAAAAAAAAAAAAACACACACACACACACACACACACACATATAATCCATGGAGACAGGCCCCATGATGCCCTTGAACACCAGAAACAGCTCTGCCCAAGAGCAGCAGGATCTTAGAAGATGCTGCTCTACTATCTGAAACACCATGCAAGCTGTAAGATTTGTGACCACTGAATGAGAAAATCATTCTTTTTTTTTTTAAATGTTTTTTTTTTAATTTCTTTTTTTTTTGTGGCCAGCTCAGCCCACCAGGGGGCGGGGCTGGCTGGCATGTGGTGCTGGGGATGGAACCACGGTCCCTGTGCTTTGCCAAGCTTGTTCCAAGTAGGTGCTTTAGACCACTGAGCCATCTCGCCAGCCCGAGAAAATCATTCTTGGCTGGGGAGATAACTCAGTCGTTAAGCATCTGCCTGGCAAGCACAGGACCCAATTTCCACCTCCAGTGTTGTATGCCACACTGGCACCGGAACCCCGAGTGTGCCTTCGGGGCGATGGCGTTTGCCTGCCTCTAATCCCAGGGCATGGGAGGCTGAGACAGGAGTATCACTACAAGTCCAAGCATCGTGAGATCCTGTATCAAATAAATAAATACACTGCTACTGACAAAAAATCATTCTAGGGGCTGGTGAGATGGCTCAGTGGTCTAAAGCACCTACTTGGAACAAGTTTAGCAAAGCACAGGGACCGCGGTTCGATCCCCCAGCACCACATGCCAGCCAGCCCCG